TAAGTGGCAATCCATAGGTTAGATTCTAATGGTGAAGAAAATCCCTTCAGTCCCTGATCATTATTTATCTCGGGATTTAAACAGTAACTCTAATTGTATTCTTTGAACACAAAGTTCCCGCGCCACCCCCCACCCCATCCCGTAGTTAATTAGCTGGGTAGGTCTTATAACAAATATCCACTCAGAAGCACTGGGAGGTAGAAATGCTGTTGATAATTAAACACCACAATAGCACAGAGCCTGTTTCAGGAGCCACCGACTGGTCTTGCCCCTGCCGACTGCTTACCACACAGTCACAGACCCTCCATTGTGCTGGCATGGCTGCTCAGAGGGACAGCTGCTTGGCTGGAGAAGGGACCAATTGCAATGAGAGAAAAGACCAAACCTTGCAAAGAGATCAGGAGTATGGCCTCCAGGGAAAAGTGTCCTGTGGGTGGAAGTGAAAGGGGAATGAATCCAAGAAAAAGAGAAGTGGATGGGCAGGAATGATAAAAACAGACATAGCCTTTCTATTTTCTAAATCAAACCAACCAGTCAAACTGAGTTCACCAATTTCATACCAAATAGATAACAATCAAGAAATTGCAATATATCAATAATAGGTTGATTTGTATTCTATTTGGTTTAGAGAAAATCCACCGAGTTCTTTAAGGTTTAGATGAAGATCTTGAATAAGTCATCCCATCTCCCTGGGTCTCAATTTCTTCATCTTTAAAATAAGGAAGTTGAAAATGTCCCCATTCTGCCATCAAATCCAGAGGGTAGTAGTTACACTTCTGTAACACCAGATGTTAGTGACAATGAACCTGATCATTATAGATATTCTGACACCACTGACTCTGATACACAAGTTACAAAAGTCTGATTTTTTTTTTTAATCAAGAGGGATAAAACACCATGAAAACAAACTTGAATAGACTGAAAATTTACTTTTTTTTTTTAATGCCAATAGGACATCATGTCAGATTACCAGTTATAGGAACAATTCTCTTTTCCTGACCAATCTTGTTTTACCCCATGCATCCCCATTCAACTTGTCGTCCAGTTGAAAACAGGTTGTGTAGCTGTGTCATGTATATACCTTTTTGTGTCAAAAGGACATTTAAAATTCAATTATGATTAGTAAAAATGGCACTTTTCCATTTTATTCCAGTTTTATAAAAAGTAAAGACAGACTGATGTGTATACTTAGGAATTTTTTCCTTTTGTGTTCTGTCGCCAACGAAAGTGGCTAAAGAGCTTTGTGATATACTGGTTCACATCCTACCCCTTTGCACTTGTGGCAACAGATGAGTTTGCAGTTAGCTAACAGAAGTTTCCAAAGGGTTTTGCTACATTCTAATGCATGTATTCGGGTTAGGGGAATGGAGGGAATGCTCAGAAAGGAAATACATTTTATGCTGGACTCTGGACCATACACCATCTCCAGCTATTTACACACACCTTTCTTTAGCATGCTACAGTTATTAATCTGGACATTGGAGGAATTGGCCACTGTCACTGCTTGTTGTTTGTGCATTTTTTTTAAAGCATATTGGTGCTAGAAAAGGAAGCTAAAGGAAGTGAATCTGTATTGGGGTACAGGAATGAACCTTCTGCAACATCTTAAGATCCACAAATGAAAGGAGATAAAAATAATGTCATAGGTAAGAAACACAGCAACAATGACTTAACCATGTAAATGTGGAGGCTATCAACAAAGAATGGGCTTGACACATTATTAAAAAATTGATAATGATTTATTTAATATGATTTCTCAATTGTAAAAAAAAGAAAAGAAAAGAAAAGAAAATGCCCCCATTCCAGGGTGGCAAAAATAGAAATAGGATTCCCAGAACAATTTTCAAGCTTCCAAAAAGCCTAACTATCACACCATTACTCAAGATAAACTACACAGTCTAATATAATTATCATATTTACTTGCTTCTACTTAAAATTTATTAACCCAGTTTGTTAGGTTGATTATCTCATTCTGAACAGATGCTGCTTCTATTGATGGTTATATACGTCGTTAATAATAGGGAGAAACCTGATCACTTTATAAGTCAGCTGGTTTGGTAGACAAAAAAAAAAACTTTGAAAAGAGGGTGTTTTATTAGGCTATTAAAAAAATCCACTGGAAAAAATAAATAAAGGTTTGCTTGCTGAAATAGTTGGAAACCAGTGGCTCAGTCAGTCCTTCTCTGACTTGTGCATGCAATTACTTTTCACAACAGATGCAAATGATAGTCTCAAGGGCACCTGTGGACTTAACCTGTAAAAAAGGGATAGAGTTTTACCAAGTTTCCCTTTTTTCAAAATCTTCAATTTTTGAAAACACTTTCCATTCTTCTCCATAATAGACCTATTTAATTTCTAAATAATATGCTTAATCAAAATCTGCACGTAAAATTAGATGCTCCTAGAAGACACATTCTTTCCTATTGTGTTTTTAGAGATGATTATTTCTCCCCCTACTTCACCCACCATCACTACCATATTACGTTAGAGTTTAGATATCCCAGTTTGAGGTGCACTGGGATCTAAATAATCTTGCAGGGCTCACCCAGCTATAAAATTCTGTCTTTAAGTTTCTGAAGAGGTAAAATGCATTATCTTGAAGAGATGGAATTCCTTTACCATTATAACGCAAATTGCATCTAAAGCCTAGAAGGAAAGGGAAAATGCAGAAACAAAATGTGTGGCTCTAGGGAAAGCAGAAAAATTGTCAGAAGGAGCCAAGCATAGCTCAAGAGAAGCTGTCCATCTGAAATGCCACCTGGAATTCACACCAGTAATAACTGTTGTGGATATAAAAATTAATAGGGGAGATTTCATAGTATTAGAAAAATTTATTTTTATAAATCATGTGTCTATCACCCAAGTGTTGACGCATGCATGCAATTCAAACATCAGGCATACAATAAAAAGCTCACTGGATAACTTAACAAGGACAATTCCCCCATTTTCCCTATAATTTGGAGTGGAAGAAGGAGGGGGGAGTGGGTAGAGAGTGCAGTTACTGGGTCAATTAATCAACCTGAAAACTGTGACACAAACTCTGACGCCTAACCTATGTCTAAAAATACACAAATGTATACGAATTTGTTTTAAACTGTCAATGCCTATATTTAGGACCTTCCCAGCAAGGCTATAATGAGACTGTGTTTGAGGGCTTCAGTCATAGCAGACTCTACCATTAATCTGAAGTTAGTTAAATTAACAGCATTTAGTACTGACTTGTCAATCTCACTGCTCCAGGAAATTGCACCTTGAGGCTACTAATATTGCCAATTTTTCCACTGGAGTGTGCGCCCGCGTGTGTGTGTGTGTATTTTTTTTCTCCAGAACCTCTGCGTTCATACACCATCATTGCTTCCCTACGTCCACAGCACTTATATTATCATTTATTCTGGCCTCCTTTAGCCTTCCCCAGGGATTCTGCATAGTGTAGCTGCTCAGTGAAAGAGTTTTTTAGCTTTATATTTATTTGTTTATTTTTCTGTCATGGCTCATGACTGAGGCTTTTAAAAAAAAGTGTGACAGTATTTAGAGTACATGATTGACTGCTACAGCAACATTCATTAACCATGACAAATCTGCAGCGAAACACAGTCCTGAGTGTTCTAAACAGCAACTTTAAAAAGAAAGAAGAAAGAAAGAGAAAGAAAAAAGACTCAACTCATTTTTCATTGACCTCATCTGTAAATAAATTTAGACTGATGGTGCACAGAGGCAATAATAAATTAGTATTCATTTCCTGTAATTAATGCAAACATGCCTATGAACACAGAGAATATGAATATATAACCACCTAATTTCCATTTCAAAATACACCTAACAAATTTTCACTTGAGTTATCTTCACAATATATTCCCCCTTAATTAGAAGAATGAAATAGTTATATTTGTTTCCCACCCACCAGAGAGAAATATTGTTTTGGTCACAGGGAGTGTCAAACACATTTCAGCAACAGATCTGCAGGACTTTATTCTGGTTTACTTGGTTATTCTGTGATCCCCTACCATATTCCCATGCTGAGGCCATCTTTTGTCACTTAACCAGAAGGGGCTCTGAAGTGACCAAGTGACCATCATGGCAGGCCCTCATATGCATAACAGCCATGAGGAGATCATAAGAGGCAGCCTCACTGCTCACCACAAGAAAGGGAAATGTTCCTTGCCATTCATTGACATGAACACAAGGGCAGGATGGCTAAACAATCTGATGTAAACCAAAGAAGACTATCACATATTGGGTAAAGAATAGCATGCTCTCCAACCTCTCTCAGCAAGAGGGGCTTTATAGAACTTATCCTTTTGAGCGTTGGTATCTCTGGAGATCATTCCTACCATTATACCACAATCAAAGATCAATTTCTGATCACATTCAAGTCAGCCAGTCATCAGAACTCACTAGCTCAGCTGTGGCAGCAGTAGTGGAACTCTTTGTAAGCAATAAATACATTGATTAACAATAATAAAACTATGCCTCTAAGATACGCATACAAAAATGTCTATAAGCTGGGAAGAATGTGTTAAAGGCAGAAAATCTGAATCAGGTTCTACCAAAAACAAAACAGAACTTCATCAGAATGCAACTTGCCTCATGGATGACTTTTCCTAGGGTCTTCCTGGCCGTACGGAGTTTTGCCCCTTCGTGTTTGTCCTTCCGGAGGTCATGGCAACAAATGTGTACTCTCTGGATGAGAAGTGGTCCTTTTGGGTACTTGATGGTGGAATTCTAATTAGCTGAGTTAAGCAGCTAATTGAAGTGCGTGTTATAGGAGGGCCAGAGAGCAATGGGAATATATTAATGTGATGAATTTACCACTTAATCTGATCGCAAGTGTCACTAATTAGACCTTATCATAGTAAGGTACTTGATAACAAACACAGATCCCACTTTTCCCAGGCATTTTTTTTTTTTTTTCAAATCATAGTAGACTCTGGGATGTATCCTTCCAATGAAGGAAGCATTTCCCCAGAAAGAAAGAAGTAATCCCATTTCTTTCCCTTTAGTTGTCAGCCTGGAAAGCCGAGCAATGCACCTCAACACACTGGTCCAGGAAGCCCAGGAGAGGGTGAGTGAACTGTCTGCCCAGGTGGAGAATGAAGGATTCACTCTGGACAACACAGAGAAAGAGAAACAGCTGAAAGCTTGGGAGTGGAGGTATCGGCTCTACAGACGCATGAAAACAGGCTTTGAGCATGCCAGTGAGTATAAGCAGAAAACGTCTACGTTTCACTAGACTGAGCTTCAGTTTGAGACAGCCAGGCCTTCTTTTAATGACTTTTTTTTTTTTTTTCCCCCAGCTCTACAGGGTCATGGATGGCCGTTGTCAGCCTGTGTGGAGCAAGGGCTCTGAGAGGCTATCAAAGGGTCTTTTGTCTTGCTTGAGTTTCTGGCTCCTGATGGGTGCTCTGACCACAGCCATGAGGCTTCATGCCTCTGGCCTCTCTCCACCATGTCACACTCATCTAGCACTTTCCACCCGCTATGCCCTAACGCCTAATGACCTGGATGGTCTGATGCCCTAGGTGGCTATATTTTGGGATAAGGAGGTGGAAAAATATTTGTTTGCCTGTTTGTCCAGTTTCTGCTTCAAGCTCAAGTTTAAGTTGTTTTCAACTCTCCACTGCATTTTTTATATAGAGCTATAAAGTGAACTTCAGTTAACACAGGCAACCGAAAAGAACAGTCAACTCAAGAATTATGCTTTTGTCTGCACTTCCATTCTCTTTACCAATTCTTTTTGTTAGTTTAAGAAAAGCCTTCTTTTTGGATAATACTCATTAGCACTGAAAAGTAATGCTGAGTGTAGCTCCTGATACAAAAGCAAAATATAAAATTCAAACACTTGTGAAATGTTAAACTCTCATTCTAGAAGGAGATCTTATCTAAACAGCAACAACAAAAAATTAGGCTTGAAATTTTAAATATAAGGGAAATTTCATTAGTTTGAAAATTCTCTGCCTCTGCTGTAGGAACCTTAGTTGTGATGTAGACAAAGACCAAAGACAGTGATGATGTTTTCTTAAGTACTACTGTACACTAAGTACCAAATCTAGGCCTAATCCTTTCTCTTGGAGCAAATAACTTAGCAACATTAATGAAAGTTTGATTTCAGCATCAACACTCTCCAGCAAGGCTGGAGGGTGCATGGGTTTGTTTAAAGAGATTCAGCACTTGCTTTGATAAATGCATTTGCTATTGTTCCTCATTTAGGACAGTGTAATACTAGAAACAGACATTTTTTCAGACTTGATGTCAATTTTTGTAATTTTCTAAATTATAAAACACCTTCTACGTGTTAAGCAATACCAAAAGCCATCAGGAGTCCTTTAAAACCTGAGGTTAGTGGACATGACATCCACCCATAAATTTTTTTCTCAGAAAACACTGCTCATTTGTAATAGGAGAAAGCCTGAGAGCAAGGTGAGTTAGAATTCTATCAATACTGGAAACAGCCCAGAAGTAGGCATCTGAAGCCAGGGGCTGTCATCCTGGCTGTTTGTCTTCACTGTGTTCTTGAACAAGGAATTTGGCCACTTGGGGCTGCAGTTTCCTCACACCAAAAGTGAGGGTGCCGTTACTTGCACTTCCTACCTAGCAGGGCTGCAAAAAGCCTCCAGTGAAACGATGTACTTTATAAAACATAAGGGTGTCCACAGACAATGTAGGATCCTGCTATCCTTTCCTGCCCTTCTCTTCACTGATCCAGCCCAATCTCCTATCATGTTTGCAGGATGCTTTAGGAAGGCTTAACTGGTATTATTTACCTTTTCGGAAAATGTTCTGTTGCTCAAATAAGACCCCAGTGGCAACAAATAAAAGCCATTGAGACATCTAATGAAAATGTTCAAAAGCAAAAGCTATTAGGCTCTACAAACAAATGTTTCCATAGTGTGTATTTCAGGGTATCCTTTGAAGAGGGAGGAACGTTGTTTGAAAAGGATTTGCTGTGTTAAGATCCTTGTGTTTTTCCTTCTGTCCCAGGAGCCCCTGAGATGCCAACCAATGTCTGTCTCATCGTAACCAGCAGCACATCACTCACTGTCAGCTTCCAAGAACCTCTTAGCGTCAATGCAGCTGTAGTTACCAGGTATAAAGGTACTGGACCCAAGGCATTTTTTTCATCACTCCTTCTTAAAAAAGCATCTGCTATTTGAGAATCAATTGTGCATTTTTTGTGTGTGTTTTTCCTGCTGATAGGAATGTGTTTATCCCATTGACTTTTGGAGTTGAAATATTTCCATAGGCGCTCATGTAAAGGAACAATCAAGTGACTAAGAATGTCACAGAAAGGAAGAACCACAAGACCAGACTGTCATTTCAAGCCCCTCAATTACTGTTTCATTCATGTCTGCAGAGGTCCTGCTCTATGCACAGCGTAGGGCTGGGGACAGGTCTGAGTAGGAAACACTGAAGAATCAGACTTGATCCAAGGATCTGAGGGGCTGTGATATGGAACATACTAAATAGGGGTAAAAAAAAATAAGAAGAAGAACTAAAGCCAGGTAACAGGGTTGAGGTTTTTCAGAAATGCAGATAAAGGACATTGGAGGTCAGGAAAGAACAAATGGAAGATAAAGTGGTGGGATCAGTAAGAGTCCCCTGGGGTGGAGGTGGCATTCAGGCCTGGCTATGAAGGATAAATAGGCTTTGGACTGGAAGATACTAGGGGGAAAGTAAATTCCAAATGGAAAGGACAATGAACACAAGTATAAAAACAAGAACATACCAGAACAGGTAGAGCAAACTAAGGGAACAAGTGGAGGGAATAGAAAATAGCATGGCTCCAAATGAGCGTAGGGTCATGAGAAGGTGCAGTAAGATGTTAAGATTAAAGAAGGAAACTAGGATCAACAGATAAGGATGGAATGAGGCTTGAAATTAAGGCTAGGGAGTTTAGACTTTATGTGATGAATTCTGCGGAACCATTGAATAAGGTAGGGACAGGATCAGAGGTAGACTTTTGAAAGATTGGAGTGGTAATACTGTGTATGATTTATTGAGAGAAATATAGATTTAGAATAAGGAATGAATTATGAACCTATTCAAGAGGAAGTCATGACAGCCTGACCTGGCTACGATGGCAGCACTGGGAAAAGAAAAGGAAAGCCCAGAGGAAAAAGGTACTGCAGAAGTATTGTGATGATAACATCTAATGCTTACATAGCACCTACTATGCACCAGGCACCATTTAAAGCTGTTTAAAGTTTTAACTCTATTTAATCCTCACAATGATCTCATGAGACAAGTATTGTTATGATTCCAACTTTGCAGATGGAAAAACAGAGGCAATGAGAAGTTAAGGAATTTGCCTAAATGCTTACAACAGAGCCAGAATCATCACGTTATGCTGACTCTTGAATATGAGGAACAAAAAAGGAAAGCTATTTTCTGGATTCACAAGGATGTATGGAATTACACTGAACAGCCCTAAAAGCTGATAAAACTCTCCACACATATTCCAGGGTTCCAGGCTACAGTGTGGACTTTCTTTGCATTCAGGTCACTATGGCTCTCTCTGCCCACAAACATGTCCAAGTGGTACACATGCCTTCCTTTCTCCTTCTCAGGACTGTCCCTCGGGGGAACTTCATATGTCTCTGCAAACTTTACTCTGCCCACACCCTGTAGCTTTCTTGGGTACTTAGAATTTTCCAGATAACGCCACTGTGTTTGTAATACCTTAGATAAGGCAGCATTGAATTGATTATCCCTGGATTTTCTGTATCAGTCTAAGAGAAACCAGCCTTAGGGTAGTAAGGACAGCAGATAAATGAAACCACCCAGGATGGCCCCCCACAGCCATCCTTTGAAACAGCTCTGATACCTTCTCTTGGTTGTCTGTTCTGCCAAGACTGAAATTCAGAGCAAGTGTTTGTAGACAATGTTAGATATGGGTATTTTCTTTTCTTTCTACCTCTCTCCAGCTCAGGATTTTGATGAAGAGTTTCATCAGTGCTGCCCACCTTGACATTTCCTTCTTACTTTGATGAGTGAGCTGTCAGGAACCAGTGTGTCCAGACTGTCAGCAATTTAATACTTACCCATAATGCTGGCAAATTCTATCCGCATTCACATATTAACACTTCTCATCTCAGGAGACTTGCATTTGGGTGAGGTTGAAATGAAAGGTCACAAGTGGGTTCTGTTAGAGACTGGAGGGGATTAATTAAGCATTATAAATAGAATTGTCTGTTGCATTATGGAGTAGGTTTCCTTGTGTTAATTTATAAGGTCATAAATTGAGTCCTTAACCCGACCACTCTCAAGGGTTATTTAGAACAGCTGGTAGACTACTGTATCCACAGGGACAGCAGTGCAGTTTTTAATTCAGGGGTTGAAATCATTATTTAACTATGAAAATATTAGCAAAATTACCCTGAGACAGGATAATCATTTTATTTGCAAAAAAAGAAAGAAAAGAAAAAGAAGAAACAATTGGGAAATCTACAGAATGAAATGACAATTATCTAATTGGTTAGAGGGAAAGTTTGCCCCTGCGGTATTCAGGGTTTGGCAAAAACATCTCAGACTATTCTCCAGAATTTCTGGGTTCAGCAAAACCTCAAGCCTATTTTGACAACTCAATGTTTTCCTCCTTCATGCTTAAGCTAGGGTATATTTGAAAGGAAATCTAAATCCTTCTGTTTCTCATTTGTTTACACTCAATGCGTCAACATATTGTTTTATAAGAGTTCGCTGATATGTAGACATCTTTTTAAGAGCATCTCTTTTGAAGTTTTCTTCACACCATGGGGATCTGAACCAGGCCAACTGCCATCACAGCTTGGAGATTAAAGGCACCAATTTCCACATCAAATCTAGGAAACAGTTTTCAGTGAGACCCACGTGATTTTTTCTGAATTTCCCCCTGAATGCAGTAAAACAGGGCTAGGAGAGCTACTGTCTGTTTCTAGGTGTTTTCTCCTTGGATTCAAAGGAGGTTTGCATCTTTTGGTCTCATCTCACCCATTTTTATGGCTGACAGAGGAAAACCTATAGTTATTTCAGATGCTTTGATGCTTTGGACAATTGCCAGAACTTTGTTCCACCTTGTCTCCTCACTGCCTTGGGTCACCTGCCTGAACCTCTCATTTGCAGATTATGTCATTTCTTTGCAGGCCTGAGGCAGAAAAGATTTGCGAAAGTGATTTTACTGCTCCTTGCAGGGTCGGGGGATGGTTAGGAAGGCATCCTGAAAGAGGTGCAGTACAATACCTCTTCTCCATCCATAAGATGTAACATTTTCTAGTTTTTCTTTTTTTTTCTTAATCGGGCCTGGAAGTGGCTACACCTTGGGGTTTGCTAATTACAACATGCTGCAGTAGTTGCTGCATTGCCTGTGTGCAGTACCCGGGTTCTGGGTGGTACCCTTGCCCGCGTCTTTTCCTACCTCATTCCCTAACAGATTAGAAACCACCACCCTAGTTCCTTCCTACAAAGACTTGTAATAGCAAATTGTTTAACTGCTCGTCATTTGATGACGTTTTTTTAAAGTAAAAAGCATCTGTCCTTGCAGAAACTGCCAGGGCCCTTCAGGAGCTCATAGTGTATCTGCTTCTGCAGAGACCAGGCCCATATCTCTGCCAACTACCACCTTCAGTTTCCTTCTCAGGAGAAGCAGCCAAAAAATTCCAGGGAGGTGTATGAGGGCATTTCAGCTTCTAGGAAGGAGAGTCTACCATTGGGACATTAAAACCCTCAGGGTCGATCATTTATAATAATAATAATGAGAACTTGATCATAACCTGATGACTTGGACCATCTTTTCTACAAGACTGGAGAAAACCCTGACCTTACAGAGCGTGGGTGCCCATTGCTGTGTTATGTATTCTTTTTACCCTTTCTGTTTTTTCCTCCTACACCTTGTAGTTGAGTGGATAGTTACCTATCAAGAAAAATGCATTCCATTAAAGAATATAATTATTTCTATGTTTAATTATTGAAGGACTAATCTGATCATAGGTATGAGGTAGCTACCTTCATTACTAGACTGAAGTGATACAATTCCACAAAGCAAAAGTATTTATAACTTTCTTTAGCCTCTTTGGGGAAAGAGAGGTGAGGAGGAGGCCAAAGGTTTGCAGATGAGAGCAATGAGGAGGAGCAGGAAATGTTGTCTAGAGGACATGAAACTTAGTGGATTAACATTTTTTGTGTTGGGGTGAAAACATGAAAGTGGGGTTAGTGACTAAATGTATGATGGAGAAAAATAACAAGTCTGGTGGGGATGAGAGGATGAAAAATGAAAGGCAACACTGCTCAAGAGTCACTTCTTCTAAGCTGCTAAGGCTTCTACATCCTTACTCATCCTACTTTCATTCACTAGTTGCTGAGTTGTCAGGATCCGGCCAATTTATTCTCCAACCGTCTTGTAAACCACCTCAAAACCTTTCTCCAATAATGTATATTGTCAAGAACAGCTTTTCTGCATTTTCATCATTTAACAAAGTGTTAACCCTCAAACAATATTGTATAGGAATATATATACATATAAAAGTCAGGCCGGGCGCAGTGGCTCACACCTGTAATACCAGCACTTTGGAAGCCCGAGGTAGGCGGATCACGAGGTCAGGAGATGGAGACCATCCTGGTTAACACGGTGAAACCCCGTCTCTACTAAAAAATGCAAAAAATTAGCCGCGTGTGGTGGTGGGCGCCTGTAATCCCAGCTACTTGGGAGGCTGAGACAGGATAATGGTGTGAACCTGGGAGGTGGAACTTGCAGTGAGCCGAGATCGTGCCACTGCACTCCAGCCTGGGCGACAGAGCGAGACTCCATCTCAAGAGAAAAAAAAAAAAAGGTCAAAGTCCTTCGCCCTTCTTCCAATCATATTCATACCTCAAAGTCTGTAGTAAGTTTGATGTATGTCCTTACAAATTCTTTTTCGATACATATATGCACATGGATATGTACAAAGATTTATAGTTTTGTTTGTGTGCTCTAATACAAATATTATATTGTTTTTCTAATCCTACAACTGGAGTTTTTTCCACTCAGTGATATTTTTACAATTCAACAGTATAAATTACACATCTATGTAAATGTGTTTGACTTCTCTTACAGTTGTATAATATTCCTATTCCACAGAAAGGTA